CTGTGAATTTATGGGCAGCCTAGTCTACATAGTAAGTTCCAGAGCAGCTAGCAAGGTGACTCCTCCCTCTCAAAAGGAAAACAAATATATTTTTATGTGTGTGTACGCACATGTATAGACTTGTGTATGTGTACATGCATGCTCATACTCATGCATGTGCACTCAGCAGCCTAAATGGGTGTCAGATCCCTGAGAGCTGGAGTTACAGAAGGTTGGGAGCCACCTGATATAGGTGTTGGGATTTGAACCCTGGTCCTCTGTAAGAGTTAGCAGACCCTGTTAGCCACTAAGCCATCTCTCCAGGCCCTAGCTGTTTTATTACTTCCTCATTACTCCAATTAAGTTTAAGAATAAGGTTTCATCACATTAAGCCCTGTTATGAATTGTTTGGGTATGTAAGGTGAAAACATACAGCTTTCCTGACACAAGTATTTCCAATCTTGACACTCCTGAGCCCTATCAGGACTGAAAAGTAGAATCCTCTCAAAGATACTAGCTTCATTGTCATCCCTCATTCAGTGAAACCCTTGAATTCACTTCCTTTGCAAATGTCATTTGGTTTGATTCTGCCCAGCCCGGCCCAGCACAAGGCTTCCGTCACCTGGGTGTCCACTGGGTGGACACCTACATTGTGCCATTTGTTTTGCTGGTGGGGCTGTGAAACGGCAGCACAGGTATTTTTCCGTAGGGAACACCTCAGGTTGTCTTGCCTTACTAAGCCCAGGTCAGGCACTCTGAAAATGGAATTTCAACAGCAATCAAATGAGCAAATTAAGAGTCCTCCTGATGTGAGAAAGAGGCAAAAGGGAGGCCGGCTGCGCACTGGGTCTCTGTTGTAATTTACCGAATTCCCACTAAGAAGAGAATCTGCTGAATGAATTTCTAATATAAAGGCTGCTTCAAACGGAGCATTAAACCTCCTGAAGCATCGTCCACGGCACGAGCCTACTGATACCCAAAGATGGAGATGCTAAGAGCTCAACTCACAGTCACCAAGTCATTACAGGAGCCAGGGAGACTGCAAACTGCAGCCTGATTGAAACTGCCTTCTCCCCTCGGCTCTAACATTTGAAAGCCAGTTTCCTCATAAAGGTTAAGGGCTCCCAACAGTGGTGCTCAGTGAGTCACAGTGTCGATCATATTCATCGAAGTGCGCAATTTTAATCCTGTAAATCTGAAGAGAACAGATAAGTACCTGGGCTCAGGCAGGAACATTCTAAGTTTGCACACCACAAGCTCCACATCTGCAATCTAGGCCTCCTTATTAGAAGACATTATCAGGAGAGCCACGACTCAAGGGGCCCCTCAGGAAAAGCAGCTCATCCACTGGGTAAAAGAGGCAATTCTGGAAGCAAAGCTCCCCAAAAAATCCATCCAAGCAACTTCTGCACCAATTCACATTCAAACAAAATGTTAATTATAAGAAATCTCATCATTAAACCCCACTGCTGTTAAATTAAAAGTAGTGCAAGTGGTTTCCTCTAATTATCTTATACTTTCTTATTAACTTGAATAAACAACCCCATTTCCTATCTTTAACAATATGACTCAAATTTGACTCAAGGACTGTTCTTAGGCTTAAAACACAGCTCTTGTTTTTCATAGTTCACATCTATTTTCTATACTGTAGACAGATTTTACCTTACCTTATAACAGTGTCAAAAACAAATTATATAAGCAAGTTATATGTTACTATACACCTTTTAAAAGTTAAGCATGCAAGCTTATAGAGACAGATGATAGACAGATACATACACACATACAGAGATATATAGATATAGATACAAATATCGATTTAGTTTTTGTTTTTCAAGACAAGAGTTTTGTCCTGTGTAACCCAGGCTGTCCTGGAAGTCTCACTGTACACCAGACTGGTCGTGAATTCAGAGATCCAACTGCCTCTGCCTCACCACCAGACCTAGCTGAGCACAGCTATGTTTTCTAAAGTACTGAGAAGGGGCCCCAGGTGCTGGGAATACCTTTAATCCCAGAGGCAGAGGCAGTCCAATCTCTGAGTTTGAGGCCAGCCTGGGTTACAAAGAGTAAATCTTCCTCAAAAGGGGGGAGATGAACTGGGGGAGGGGGAAGGGCCGGGAATAGTATTGTTTCACATTTGTAATAGGTTATTCAAGAGATTACACCAGCTTTTCTTCTATGCAGTGTCCAGGAGACCAAGGGTCACTCTCTGGTGTTGCCCCTCAAGAGATGCTTACCTTGTTTTCTTATTTATTTTAATGACATTTTATCTGTTTGTTATGTGAGGGCAGCACATGTGGGAAGACCAGAAAACAACTTCTTGGTTCTTCTTTAAACCCTGTGGGTCTTGGGGACTGAATTAGATCATCCAGATCATCAAGCTTGGCAGTCTCTACCCACTGAGCCACCAGCTGGCCTCATCTTACATTCTGGGGCAAGGTTTCCCCCTGCCTGAATACTCCCTAAATGGGCTAGGCGGGCTAGCCAGACTGCTCAGGAGTCCACCTTCACCTGCCTCCCTGACCCTGGGGTTACAAGTGCATGTCACCACACATGGCTCTCTACATGGGAGCAGGACACCAAGCTCAGGTCCTCATCCTTGCAAGCTATCTGCTTTATTGAGCTACCTTCTCAGCCAGAGTTTTGCATGGGTTAGCTGCAGAGTGAGAGCAGTCCAAATTCACACCAGCCACGTTTGCTTCCTCCACTATGTCAAAATCCACCAGTCTGCCCAGCACGGCTCTCACTAGTCCTGTCTGTGGCTGTCATCGGAAATCCTGTAAGTACTGGGCACCTGGCAAGTTCACCAAAACAGGGACAGACTTCCCAAGCCTCTTATTTTCCTCTGCAAACTTAAATTTTATTTTAGCGACACAGAGTGTCTGCAGTCTTCCATGTTGTGATGGGCTCACTGTGTTCACTGCCAGCATGTGCTCTAGGCTCCAGATACAGTTAAATGGGGGCATTTCTAGAGCACGGCCTTGGCCTGGGTCCTACTGTATGTCCCCTCTTACCACTGCTGTCATCTGACTGAGTACCATCAGCAGGGTACAGATTAGGGCAATTCACTCCTCAGTATTCTAACGAGTACAGCTGTGATGGAATCAGTCCCCTGAAGGCTACTGAGGAAGGGCTGGAGGCAGAGCTCTGTTGGTGGGTAGGTGTGGCATCACACCCCTACAACCCTGGCACCCGGAAGTAAAGGCAGAAGGATCAGAAGTTTGGAGTCATCTCTGTGTACACAGCAGGTTCAAGACCAGGCTGGGATACCAGAAAACCTGCTGAATGAAAGGCTTGAAACAAGCAAGCAGGACTCTGAGGAACCCAGTAGGTGCTGATCTTACACGGAGTCCCTGAGCACAAACATCTTTACAGACACAGCCACCAGCTTGGAAAAATGGCCGCTGCAGCTTTCTCAAGCTGCGCGGTAGTAGCATGGCAACATCCATCCAAGCTTCAATGCTGACAGCATAACCAGTGTAACCTAGTCACCGTGGAAGGATGGAAAAGTTGAGTAAGTTTAATGTGCAAATTCCCCAAGGAATTAAAACACCCCCTTTAATCCACCATTTGTTCCCACATTGGCTAGGCTTTTTTTCTCTGGGGACAGATGCCTGGTGTCGCAAATATGGAGTCTTAGGGTGCCAAACCCTGTGACCCATGGAGAGTGGCGCTGCCTGGACACAGGGCCATATATTGAAGCTGACAGATCTGATTTCAAGTGCCAGGTCCCCAGCCTCAGGCAGTTTGTCCTTTGTCATTCCCAAGCCTGCCTTCTTAGTTGGATATGAGACAAATTCCACTTACAGCATGAAATCCATGTAAAGCACTTAGCCCATTCCTAGCACACAGCAGGCATTCAATAAATGGAAGCCACTCTGTGAATAAGGTCCCCTGGGGGCAGTCAGAGTCCAGAGGGGAGCTGAACACGTCCCAATAATTATGACCCAGCATGAGAACCGATTAACCACAAAACGAAACAGGAGTGAGGGGGGAAAATCAATGGCCTGCTTCATCGAGGAGGGTGCTGAGACAGGAAGGAGCTGGCTTGGTGATAGAAGGGGAAAAGAGAATGGTATCTGGATCATTATGAGGGTGGGAAGGTAGACAGAATGAACACGGAGGCCCAGGGCACTGCATAACCCAGGAGCGAAGAACCCTAGAAGCAGGTCATTGAGGGCCTTGAACGACACACACCTCAGGACATAAACACTTGAGGCATCTTCCTATAGACTGGGCACTCACAGCTCTCAATGCTGGCGCTTGTCTTCTGTGCTCCCCGTCCGGCACCCACATATTATACCTATGCCTGTATAGTCTGATCAGCAGGCCACTGGCCCACACTTGGCTACTAGGGGCAAAGGGACACAGAGCTTCTTCATCAGCAAGCCCACGCACCAAGGACCATTCCACACAAGCAGGAATAATTGTTTTTCTTTCTTTCTTGGTGTATGCAGGCCAGAGGACATCCTCAGGCATGTCTCCTTAGGAGTCACCCACCTTGGTTCTTTGAGACAAAGTCTCCGACTGGCCTGGAGCTCACTAAGCAGGCTATTCTGGCTGGCCAGCGAAAGTGGAGAGATCCTCAATTTGTGCCTCTCCAGAACTGGGAAGACAGGCGCATGCTGCCACATACGAGTGTGGAAAATCACACTCAGATCCCCGGGCTGGCAAGGCTAACACTTTACTGACTGCGCCATCTTCCCAGGCCAGAAAAAAACAGTTACTGACAAACCACTGTGTAGCCTCTCTGACACTTAGAAAATGTTGAAGTATACAACTCCATCTTTCTCCTGACCCTAGGTTCTGCACTCTGGTGAAAGTCACAGGTCACTTGGCTTAATAGGGTGAAAAGCAGCAAAAAGGGGGCAGTGTCTCAAGTTTCGAATTGCAACTCCAGCAGCCTGTGAGTTACCACGTGAGAAAGGCCTGGGACCCACCTACCCGGTCAGTGTGGAGCCATAGCTGGCTACACTGCACCTCGCTCCCAGGAACCAGGGAAATCACAGCCATTGTCTACTCACCCAGAACTTTACGAGGAAGAAGGCATTTTGAGGGCCCTTTCCAAACAGTTCCTTCAAGCCACCTTTCTTTTCGGGAAATTTGTCATATATCTGACGAATGTCCACGGATTCGAGCAATGGGTCACTGTAAGAATGGTTGGCATGCCCAATGTGCACGAAGAGGTGTTTGTTGTACTGCAAGAAACCATTGGAGATATTCCCATTAGACACTCTTTCATGGAACGGGGACTCACCTGTGTGAACTGAGAATGAGTGGGAACCTTGAAATCCCACCTCCGAAAATACGTACACTTACAGAAAAAAAGTCATTAGGGCATAGAGAAAAACAAACTCTGTCTCCAGGCAAGATCATGCAGTTTTCCCAAATGCCTAAGCAGAGTCTCTCAGGGTGTCAACTACCAAACCAAGAAACAATTCTACTGTCCAGTTTCACCTGGCTCACTCTTCGCAGTTCCTTATCCACAGCATAAGCCTCCTACAATTACAGCTGCTAACAGCATTACCCAGAATGCACCCTTAGCCCCAGCTTTCCAAGCAGGAGTGTGGGCACAGCAGTTTGGTGGATGGTACTCCCTTCTTCTGGGTCACCAGCCACCTCAGGAATCCATGTAAAACTTCTGTGTGCATGCAACACAGCTGAGTGCAGAGTTAGGGCCAGAATCTCCAAGGCTAAACTAGGACAGTAAGAAAAAAGCATTTTTAAAATTCCTTGATGAGGTCCAATGTTTAGCTGAATATGAAGCTATCAGACACTTGAGGCCTGCATTTCCCACCTAATGGCATGGCCCAGAGATGTTCAAACGCCCAGAGACTCCATCCAGTAGAACTCAGAAATCACAAGAAACACTGCATCTTCAGTTCTTCATATGGCAGAGCCCCTCTTCCCCCACTAAAAAGGTTTAAACCAGTTTTATCAACTATGACCCCGAGTTATACTATTACAGTAACATTCAATTGTTGAATGCTTGACAAATGCTCCTACTGCATTGCCCACTGGAAAAGAATGTACAATCCAGATGCAGTCAGCTCAAGGACAAGACCCTAGCCCAATGTATGTTATCTGTGGCAGTCGCCTTGCCTCCTTAGTGTCCAAAGTGGTAGCAATGACAGAAGGACTCTCACAGGGTTGTCAGTGCAGAAGGAAAGAAGGACAAGGTCTTGTGTCCCCATGCTGCTGTGAGCCATACTTTACATATGTATGACCTTAGGTCATTCTTGCTGCAGTAGACTGTATCTTGTCCTTAAAGAAGAGGAAACAGGAGCTCGGAGTCACACCTCGCTGTCTGAAGTCACACATTCGGAAATAGGTCTGAAGTTAAGAATAAAACTTGGGCGTGTGAGAGCCAGGCTCTGTTCAGCACGGACACCACCACTATCTCCCAAAGGAGCCACCTATACCCTTCCCAATGCTCCTGAAAGCGGAATTGAGGAGAAGAGCTGACCAGCATTCCTCAAGTCTGTTGAGGTTAAAGGAGAATTCTAGATCCAGTCACAAGCACAGTAGATCGAGTCTTCAAAGGGTTCTATTTTGAGGATGTGACCTCTGTCCGGAGGGGAAAGGGCACAGAAGAGACAGGGAAGCTGGAGCTCCCTCTCCAAGGCTGGGGACTTGAAGCCAGAACCTGGCCAGTGGAGTCCGCAGGCTTTCCTGCTGCCAAGGGCTGACTTTGTTTCTAAGAATACAAAGGACTCCAGAAGGTGTCCTGGAGACCACAGCATGAAACAAACAGACCTCACTCTCCCCTCAATTCAACCTGGGGAGGTCTGGAATCCTTCTGGCCACAAACCCAAAGGCAAAATGAAGAAAGCAGCCTGATGTGCTTGGGCCTAAATGAAACAGAAACTCTAAGACCACCAGCCTGCCTTCCTGGTAAGGGAATGGGATAGGAATGGACGCTTCCTTACCAGTTAGTTCCCTCCTTCCCTGAAGAAATCCAAGGGGAGGTGCTCTCTCCCCAAAGGCGGAAGGAATATACACCCAAAAAGCAGAGCAGGAAAACACTCTCAAAAGAAAGCAGCTGCCAACAAGCGACCTGTGTCAATACCTAGGACTATAATTCTTCAAAACCCAATCTGTTCAGTTGAAAATAGTCATGTGTAAACACCAAAAAAGGGACCAGGGAGATGGCTCAGTGGGTGAAGACATTCTGTGCACAAGCCAGTGCTAAATCACTGGAAGGAGAGAACTAATTCCACAAAGCTGCCCTCTGACCTCTACATGTGTGCCATGGCCCACCAACACATACACACAAGCCATAAATAATTCAAAGGAAAAAATTTAAGAATTTAAGATTTCCTAGGCACTTAACAGCTAAAATGAGCCACCCAAACATCAAGGGCAACACCAGATACGGTACCCACTCTGTAATTTCTCCATGGATTTTAGTGGAATGACCTACCATCCACCAGGCACTGAGATAGGAAGGCTAAGTCCATAAGCAAACACTACAAGTTGCATTTCTTCACAGAACTCTGTGAAGGTAGAGCACCTACATGGCAGCTCACAGCCATCCATACCTCCAGTTCCAGGGATCTGGCCTCTGAGGCTCCTCTGGCTTCCACATGTACCATGCATGCAAAACACTTGTACAGATAAAATAAAAATAAATAAATCTAAATCAAAACAACAACAAGAAACCCCACATATCTTCCATGAAGCATAGCGTCTTTCATTAATGGGAGTATGCGTGCAGAATCCACCAGAAAATGTGAATGATTTTACAAACCTAAACCATATGCGTCAGGTTACCCGTACACGCGAGAGCAGAGGCCATGTTCAGACACAGGAGGTTTCAGAACACCGAGCTTCCCTCGAGTACTTTAGTAGCTATAGGAAACATTTCTAACAAGCAAAGAGAAAAGGCCCACCCCAGAGGGACCTGGCCAGTCACAGTCAATCGGGATGTAGGCTGTGGACTCTTGGAGAGGTGGTAGGAAGAAAAATGGACCTGGTAGAGTTCTGTATCAGAACATCCAGAGAAAGTTTTAGAGTTGTACTAGAAATGGGGGACCTGTGTGCATATGGAACTCCAAGAAGATACACTTGTACAGACACAAAGGCAAAACAAACAAACAAACAAAAAAACAAAAAGCACAACAAAATCTGAAGAGATGAAGAAGAGAGGCAACCACATTGGGGACAGTTTATGAAAAAAGGACACAGTACCACGTCACATTACTGTATGGAAATACAACTAGTTTGTAGTGTAAAAGCTAATGTCAGCACATGCTCAAAAAGAGAGGGAAGTCCTATGAAGAGGGGCTGGTAAAAGCACTGAAGACCTACCTGAGTTCCATCACACACTGGAAGGAGGGAACTGACTACGAAAAGCTGCATGTCATCACACACACACACACACACACACACACACACACACACACACACACGGTGATAACAGGCTACATCTAAAAAAAATACAAAGAAGTGGTTGCAAGGGCTGGCATATGGCTGTTTTCCTTATGGGCCATGTGGTTCAATTTGCCTTAGCTTAAATAAATAGCCCATGAAAAACTACCATGGAACCTGGGGGGTAGAGTGAGGAAGGGGAAAAAAAAAAACATAAAAGGAAACAAAAGTATGACTTTCAGCATGTTTATTAGGCACTGAATATAAGCTCTCTGGGCTGAAGGAGCTTGAGCCGCTGTAAGGCTCTCCCATGGCTCAAGACAGCTACACAGGAGTCAGGGTAACTGTGTGCACATGGGACTCCCAGAAAAGGCAAATCCCCCTGGATCTGAGGGATTTCTCAGCTCCTCTTCCTACTCCTGTGATCCTCATCTGTCTGCACTGCAGGCCCTAAAAGCCTGAAAGGGTGAATGAGAATCCTCAGGGACATGGAATGGGAAATGATGGAGGAGTCAACAAGAACCTTCCCCATGGCTGAAGAAAGGTTTCCGTCTTCCAGGTCCTTGGTTCCATTTGCTCTTTGCTGCTTATTGAAACCACAGAGGAATGAAGAGACCTGGACCCTCGAGTCAGTTGAGATCTGGGACTGGATTTGCTGCTGATTCCATCCACTTCCTGAGACCTTCTGGGCTGGGACTATCAGGCCCTCTACCGGAGTGTCGTCCATTAAAAGACAATTTCTGCCCTGTGTGACCACCAGAGGATTAGGTGAGAGAACGAACAGAAACTACATTATTAGCAGAGCCTTCTGAATCTGTCACAAATGTTATTTACTCCATAATTGTGACAGTTCTCTACTTGGGCTGAGAAACTCTGAAGTCAGTGCATTCCTTCAGACAGAATTAAAATGGAAGGACTGATTCAAAACAGAAATGGAGAGTGGGAAGTTCCAGGCTCTTCAGGGTGATTCCCACCATCATGAATTTGGCACAGCTACTGGAGTTGAGGTGGGGTTTGTGACCTGGCCTCTGCATCTCCCTTAGGTCAGCAGGTTCCACTGGAGGCTCCTTATGAGGAAGCACTAAAGGTGTCCTCCACAACGAGATGGAGCGGGTGGGGGTGTACCCGATTAAAGACACAGAACAGTACATCTCCCAACGGTTATTGGGGCTTCACTGCTTCCTCTTCCCCTCTCTCCCTCACTTCAAGGAAGGAAGGGAGAAGGGAAGAAGGGAGGGAGGGAGGGACTCTACAATCTTCTGTGCCCTGGGACAGGCCTGAGAGCTGCACTGCCCCAAGAGACCTGAAGATGGCAATCTTCTCCTAAACTTCTCCCCCAAAATTCCAAGTATTTGAGGAACTGAGTAAAACCTTGAAAAATGACTGCTGTCAAATAATACCAAGAGAAAAATTATAATTCACTTAGGAATTTAAAGAAACCAAGACAAATAAGTCATGCCGAAGGATACTAATGTCTAAGCTGAATCAGAACGACGGCAAATCACCTGCATTTGCTTCATGTCACGCTCCAGCCTGGACTGTCTGTTCAGGCACCCTCAGGGTGGCCTGGGCAACCTTCTGACTGATGGCAGGGCGTGGGTGTGCAGTCAAGCCAAGAAAGTGACTTGCAGATTCAACCAGGAGAAGCTGGGGGATTGTACAGGCCTCTGTGAGGCTGCCAGGGAGGAGGTGAATCAGGAATTTCCTCCTCAGCTGAAGCACAGCAGGCTGCTATGTCCCTTGCACTACCAGGATGTGATACCAAGATGCCTCCTTCCTGCTTCCTATTTCCAACCAGCGCAGCTGAAAAGATACAATGGCTGAGTGC